GAAGCTCCATGGATCAGCCTCTCTGCAGCTCTCAGCACCTTCACTGAGCCTTGAGGGAATCACTGAGCTGCTCTTGTTCTTCACAGTTAGAAGGTGGGAGCTCTCGTCAAATGATGATCTCCAGCATCATCTTGTTCATGCCAGGCTTTTCATCCACTGACCACAGCAACCTGTAAACATCAGGGGGACCAGTAGCTGTTTAACACATCTGGAAGGAAACCAGTGAGATTTTCCTATGACCATGACCATTATGATATGATGTTATGTGGGGGAGTGGTGGCGCAGAGGTTAGAAGATGGGCCTGTGATTGGAAAGTCGCAGGTTCAACTTCCGGTACCGTCAACATCAAAATGTGGGTGGAAAAGGTGAAACACCCACACCTGCCTCCACCCTCATTGGCCCCACTCTGGGCCCCTGAGCAAGGTCCTTAACCCCCACCATCTGCTCCTAAACAGGTCTCTCTTGAAAATGAGTTCTCATGACTCAATGAGACTACCTGTATAAATAAAGGCTAAATGAAAAATAAAAGTTTCAAATAGAAATACTCACATCATTAGGCCGAGGTTGTGTGTGTGACGTGCACGTTCCTGAGAGGCCACAGACAGAGCAGCTCCAGCTTTTGTTCAGTTCCTGTAGTCCTGCAGTTTTCAAGCTGAAATGAAAAAGCATAATGAATATGAACTTTACAGTCTCTAGTTACCTGTACATATAAACACATGGAGGTGTCTCACCTTGTGACTGACAATAAAATATGTAACTTTATGAACTCTAATGAACTTATAATGATGCTCCTACTGTTTGAAGGTGAACCGATGGTACCACACCATCTCTCAGTCGGACAGTTTGATCAGTTTGATCAAAATCCTCCAGTTTAAAATCCTCACTGCTCAGATGAATCCTCCTCAAAGATACTTCCTCCTCTTCCTCACATCTTGTTCTTTGGGAAACCTTCAAAATGAAAACAGGATATTTGTGTCTACACAAAAACATTGTACAAAGGAGGTCAAGCTTATTTTCTATTTCCTATATTCTCCCTAGTTTTATTTTTTATATCCTAGAACTTAAACAAAACTCCAATTCTGATGCATATCTGTTGATAATGAACCAAAGCTGCTGAAATAGTGAGTATGTTTGTTAGAAAAATATTCTTGTCATCAGATCTCAGTCAGCTTCATTGCAGCTGAACACTGGTGTTACACTGAACATCACATCAGCTGGTGGACATAAATACAGTACAGTAATATTATATTCACAAAATACTAACAATAATATGTTCATCTTACTTGTGAAAAGTTATCCCCCGAGACCTGACGTCAACAGTCCGTCGATTAGAACAGAAGCAAGCTGCGAAGTGCTGAGACATCTTCTGCTTTAACCAAATAAGGACGACCGCTCCAAGATGGCGGCCGAAATTCTTGCGCCGCAGCAGCCAATGAGGGATCTAGTGTTTATATCTATGGTCGGAGACGTCTTCTTCGTAGACAAGAGCGACAGCAGCGTCTCGAGAGACCTCCCTGAAGTGAGTTGACGGTCAGTTATTTTTCTGTTTTCACCAGAGGAGATGTCTCTGTCGTCCACCCAGAGCTCAGAACCGACCAGTCGGAGGAGAAGACCGGCTGAACACACGCAGGGTGAGCGTCTTTAGCTCCGCATTTAGCTACTTACAATGAAAAAGAACGTTATTCGTACCCGCTTACTTAGCGTTCTCCATTTTTATTCTGCTGCGAGTTGTTTAGGTGTTTACTCCTGCCATTTTTACAGTAGTGGAGAATGTAGCTAAATACTAAAATACAATCACGAGTATTTAATTAAGGGTCGTGGGAGGGTGTATGTGTTTGGAAGTGTGGGCGGGTATTAACACACTCAAAAACAAAACAAAGTAGAATAAAGAAAAAAAAATCACTATTTTTTATTCACCTTTCTTTTATGATATACTGTATGTAGTATGAGTCAAAATAGTATACTGTAATGTGGATGATTTTTTTTTTATACCAGAGCTGAATCTGATTTATTTTAATTAAGTAGGCCAAACTAATTTTCTTTGCTAATTTAAAGTGTATTTTAAAGAGTAACTTAGATGTATTTGAATTAACTTTATAGTATACACTACAGTATATTTAAAGGCCTAGCATCATTAAAGGAATGAATATCACCCGCTGCCTTTCATGTCACTTTAAACTAAGATCAAATGACAAAAAATGACAGTTTTCAGTCAAATATTTTGTTGTTTTGAAAGATGTATTTGAAGTAGTGTTTAACTGCTGTAAGCTTGGATGCTCATGTAATCTGTTCATTATTACAGTTGTGTGTCAAAGAGAAATAAATAAACACCATAATTGACCAGCAAGTCCTTGAATTCCTCCCTATAATGTTTAAAACCAAATGTTGCAATTATTAACAGCTAATCTTAAATCTATTAATTCCAAATATACCAGCACTTTGTTTCCTGAGACAAAAACAATATAACACATAACTTTTATCAGTAACTGTCTGGGGGGGGGGGGGGACTTCATTAAGAAAGTAAATCTGTTGGTAATGAATCGGTCTAAAGTTAACTGAAAATCCCAGAAGTTTACAATCACTAACAAAATCTTTAACGTCCTGCTGAAATCTGTTGCATCGTTGCATTTACGGGTACTTCTCAAACCGAAACTAAAAAAAGAAAAAGAACAGCAACAGACTTGTCCTAAAAGTTTGAGGACTTTGCAGCACTGATGAAAAAAATAAGTTATTTTCATCTCGTCGTCGTTTTTTGATGACACTTGTTTCTGTAGTATTTGTTTGTCAAAGGACATCTTTATTTATTTCCCTAAACATAAATGAATAAATAAGCAGAAGTGTGTTTTATCGTTCCTTAAATGCAGTCCTGTCTCTTGGTTTCCTGCAGAACGGTTCCAGCTGTGGCCATACATCAGCACAAACGTACTAAAAACAGAAACACATTTTGTTCAAGAGTGCAGTGTTCTCTGAAGTTTCACTTCTGTTAAGCCCTTTAAAACCTGAAAAATATTTTTCATAATACAGTACTGACAGGTGGTTGAATAAACTGTTTAAACGGTTTTCCTGATTTTAATATTTACCATTTTTACTATCTCTCTCTCTCTCTGTGGTCAACACAAGGCAGGAAATGTAATTACAGTACACTTATTCTTGGTGTTACAGATTCTTCTTGTGAACAAGATCTTCAGGTGAGCTACAATCATGAAGAGATCCACGACCGACTGCAGGGCTCCCAACAACTTAATGCAAAACACACATGCAGTCCATCTTCATATCACGCAATACACCCTTCAACAAAATACATGTCTGCACAAGCATGTGAGTATTGGGTACAAACTGTTTAGATATTTTAAAAAGTCCAACTGTCAAGTTGACAGGTACTCACTGGCCATCTTGTTTAAAAAAAAAAAAGTTTCAGGTGCGAGCCGTCATGCCTGTGAAGACAGCTGGGAGGAAATCCAAAGCAGGAGAACCATCAGAGCGGAGAACGAGGTGGAGGCCAATAAACTGGTCAACAACTACAGGGTACGGAGTCTGATGGTTGTTCATTTCAGATGAGAGTCGGCGGAGTTCAGAAGCATGTTGAATTTCAAGTCTGGTGTGGGGCTTCAGTTTGGTTTCAGAAAATGGAAGAGTCACGTGACAGAGCGACCGTTTGAAGACCGCTCAGAAGTTGTGAAAGAGCTTTACTCCGAACTAAACATCATTAAACCACACTCGGGTCCAGGTACAGTTTATTGAGCTAGTATAAACTGCAATGATTTTTCTTTAGTACAGCTGTTAAACAAACGGTGCATTCTATGGTCCAGATCAGATTTCTAGACGAGGTCAAAAGTCTGGAACAGGTTGCAATAAGCAAATCCTTTGGTTATTATATTTGGTAACTTACAACCAAAAGAAATGGCGAGGTATGCCTAAGCTGCTCTAACTTATAAAAGTCATGTTTAAGGTGCACTGTAGTTGTATAATACATTTTTATCTAAACTTCCATCCATCATTATCTTTACCCACTTCTTCCTTTTTTGGGTCTCGGGGGTCACTGGTGCCCAAATCCAGCAGTCACTGTGTGAGAGGCGGGGGACATCCTGGACAGGTCTCCAGTCCATCACAGGGACACATGGAGACAACCGAGACAACTCTTTCACTCGCACCTAGGGACAAATTAGAGTTACCAGTTAAACTAACACACATGTTTTTGGTCTGTGGGAGGAAACCAGAGCACCCGGAGAAAACACACGCATGCACAGAGAGAACATGCAAACTCCACCTCGAAAGGCGCCCTGGCTGGGATTTGAACCGGGGCGACCTGCTCGCTGAGAGGCGGCAGCTCTACCAACTGTGCCACCGTGCCGCCCTCTATCTAAACTTGATTAACTTTATTAGTTTCATTCCCCAACAGCATAAAATACCTTTGTTTTCACACAAGAATAAACATCTTAAATAAACTGACTCTGTAGCATCAAATTTATTGAGGAAAAATTTACAGATGCCCCGAGACACTAAAAGACAGAGAAGCCTCGAGTGAATGTCACAGATGTTATTGTCAGACAGAGAAACAGATCTAAATGTTTGTCAAGTGGCTGCTATACAAGCTTTTTACTTCATTCTTGGCTGAGAATATACTCGCACCGATACGTAGACAAATATTTAAAAAAACCTAAGCCTACAATTCTTTTCTTTGTAATGTAGATAGGCCTGTCACAATAAATCAATTAATCGCATGATAAATGAAAATTATTGACCTCATTTTCATTTATCGGCTTTATCGTTTCTTCGTGTCTCTTTTTGCTGAAGACACTGGATGACAATGGTCAACTCCGGTGCTCTTCACTGCCCCCTCCCTTTCTCTTTTCTCTTTAAAATAAATTTTAACCGTCCAAAATCGTGTTTTTGGATCATTAAAAGCAGCTGAGCTGAGAAGCTAAGCTACGAGCTAAGCTAACAGGCCGACCTCGGGGAAAAAACCTCCGTCTTGTTGAAGCTCCAAAATTCATGGTTGAAACCCATGTCTTCGTCTAAAAAGTTGCTTTTGTTCTGCAAAAAGAAGCTGAGAACTTGTTTACGGATTTATTATTATTTTTTTATTTAAAGCTTTGTGTGAAAAATGCTATGCTAAAGAGCTCAAACCACACCGAGCGTCCGCCATTTTCAGAACCAAATAGAGACAGCCCATGTCACATCAAGGAGCCTCCCTCTCATATTTCTTAGACACGCTGCTTGCTCTCACTATCCATCCTTCAGTTCAAACAGTCTTATGCTGTCATCCAGTGGTCGAAAAAAGGTACTACATGCAAAACAAATTAACAAAAAAGGTACTACATGCAAAACATGCTTCCTTATATTTTGTAGAAATATTAAAGAAAAACCCACAATGTTTTAAATGTGCCTTTGACAAGTGGCAATGAGAAAAGAGGGTTCAGACAATTGTGCAGACTGAATTAAAACCAGATTGCCCAACAATTGATTTAAACAATACTTAAGTGATTATTGAGCTTAATTGTTTATCTCTACAAAAATATGTATACACTAAGAAAAGCAAGAGTAAGTTACGACTGAGCTGAGTCGTTTTGATAACAACATTTGCTTTTGGTCATTTTAATACTTGTATAAACATACGAGGCTTTTTGCCTCATTTTACATGTTTACATATGACTCAGTCTAAAATATTACCAATTACCACAATAATTACTAGGTTATATATGCACACCATTAAACATTAAAGGTATATTTAATAATAAAGCAATACGAACTACATGAAGAAAATGTTTTATGTCATGAGAATCCTTATTTTTAAAGTTTAATGACGTGACTCAGTTTTGTCACAAAGTCTAAGATGTTTTGGGCTGTTTAAAGTTTATAAAAATGCCCTGCGTATGTAGAAAGTCACCAAAATTTTTTTGTGAAACGGTAAAAATGGGATAGATAAATAACCTGTCAGCCTTTAATTGATGGCCTTTCTTTCTCTGACCATCTTTTTTTTTTCCAGGTCAGTTCATCACATGTGGAAACGTTGTGTATGTGCTCCTCTTTGGTTGGTGGGTGTCCCTGGCTTATTTTGTAATGGGCACCCTGATGTTCATCACTATTATTGGTGCACCGTATGGTAGGTGAGCCAGTCAGTAGTGGAAGAAATGTAAAATATTATCTCCCAGTCTTTTTTTTGATTCTTCTTTTTCTCTGTTTTCAGGAAAACTTTGCTGGAAGTTGTGCTGCTACTTCTTTTGGCCGTTTGGTAACACAATTCACGAGGTACTGTTTGAGTTTATTGTGGAATTCACTTCCTGTTTTCATTTTCTGTTTCTGCTAACTGAAGTATGATAGATTCATGTTAAAATGGGTTATTTCTGCTTTATTGGAGCGACTTGTGGTGATGAAAGCAGAAGTCTTTGTTTCTGAGCAAAAACACAAGATTTTAACACATTGCAAGTTAATGCAAAATTCCCAGTAGACATGCTGAAGTTTGAACAAATCTCCATTTATTGAAGACTTTAGAAGTGATAATATTTGTCAAAATCTATGATTTGTTGGTGTTTTTCATTTAATTGGTTTTGAAGCTTTACATTTTTGCTTTCCCGTCTCTGATTCCATGTTCTCCTCTGTCTCTGTTTACATCCAGGATTTATTTTACCAACTCGATATCTGTCAGGCACGTAGACTGTCCGAAGTGTACTTGTCAATGTTTTAATGTAAACAAACATCTTGTAATTATTGGCAACAAATAGGCCTGTCATGATAACAAATTTTGCTAGGCGATTAATTTTCTCGGAAATTATTGCAATAAACGATAATATTGTTTGAAATTTGACAATAATTAGTAATTAGTGTCAAATTTAATAAGAAATGTTGGTTAATTTTATTTTGAATGTAGTACCTTTTTTATCACTGGATGGCAGTATAAGACTGTTTGAACCGAAGGATGGATAGTGAGGGAGGAGCAGCGTGTCTCTTTAAGAAAAATGCGAGGGAGGCCCCTTGATGTGACACGGGCTGTCTCTCCTTCCTTTTTTTTTTTCTGGTTCTCAAAATGGTGGACGCTCGGTGTGGTTTGAGCTCTTTAGCAAAGCATTTGTTACACAAAGCTTTTAATAATAATTTTTAAAGCCTGTCTAAATAAAGGTTGAATGAAAAAAAAAAAAACAACAACACCCAAACAAAGCTTCCTGTTATACAGTAAACCAAAAAGGACCTTCAGCTAAGTAAACATTTTAAGAGGCTATTTAAAAATCAAAGTAAAACTTGTGAACCCCAAACATGCATGATAAAAAAATCAATAAGTTGTACAATTTTCTTATGTGGACCAACTTGAACACAGTGAATAGTATCCATCTGTCCATCCGTCCATCCATCCATCTATCATTATCTTTACCCGCTTCATTCTTTCCGGGTCATGGGGGTCACTGTTGCCCATATCCAGCCATCGCTGTGTGAGAGGCGGGGTACACCCTGGACAGGTCACAAGTCCATCACACAAATATACAGTAAATACGGGTTCATTCAATATGCTCTTCTGGATGTCATGAAAACAACAATGTGCAAAAACATCTTATCCACTGATGGGTGAACTAAATATGGTGCTGTTAATTGTCACTGTTTATTTTGGGCCAAAAATTAAGAGCATCATACCCATTTCCTGTTGCCCCATGATGCCATAATAAGTCAGTTTACATGTCTGATCTGTGAGCTGCAGTTTGTTGTTGCTTCTGTCTTTAGACAAAAGGAGACTTTCTGCTGTAATAATAGCGTCTTCTATTTGGGTCCGTTTCTCTCATTACAGCTTATGTGAAAGTGTCCGATCACTTCACAATGTTCAGAATTTACATTTGTTGAGTTGAAACTCTTTTTTAAATTTATTATTCCTTCTTTATTTATGTATTTATTAACATGTAGAATTGCTGACCTAACCCTGAACTGATCAGTTTTAATTATTTTCTTACTGGATTTTAAAAAGCCATGTAAATCAGAGAATGTTCTCGTTTTAAGCTCTAACCTACAGGCATCAAATAAACTTGAATGGACATGAATCATTCATTCAACCATTATTTAGACAGGTAAATCCCATTGAGCTTCGAGGACTCATTTACAAGAGAGACCTGATTTCAACAAAGAATGATGACAACGATGGACAACAGTGACAACAATAGACAAATATAAGAAGGCGTACAGATTTATTTATTAAATGGTAAATGGTAAATGGAGCTTACTTCTATAGCGCCTTCCAGCCCCCTATGAGGGGCCCCAAGGCGCTTTACAGTACCAGCCATCCACCCATTCACACGCACATTCATACACCGGTGGCGGTAGGCTGCCATGCAAGGCGCCATCCAGTCCCACCGGGAGCAACTCGGGGTTAAGTGTCTTGCCCAGGGACACAACGGCACATGGTGTGGGAAGTCGGGATTCGAACCTCCAACCTTCCGATCAGAGGTCGGCTGCCACTACCACTGCACCACGGCCGCCCACATTAATTAATATTAATTAATTTTTTTACAAATAAGATTGCAAAAAAGTAACAAAACGGCTAGATTATATGGCGAATGTAGAAAACTAAAAACAGGAACATGTATGCATTGGTCTTTGCCAGGAGTCCAACAGATTCTTAAAGCCACTTAGAGAGGTCAAGGTCGAGAGCTTCAGGTCTTTTTGTAAGATATTCCAGGAAACAGGAGCTGAGTAGGAGAAGGCCCTTTTGCCTAGTTTAGCCCGCACTGAGGGAACACTGCAGGTAATAATGTCCTGAGAGCACACGCCGTAGCTGCACTCACGCAGAGACTTGTAGGTGGAGATGTATGAAGGCAGCAGACCAAGAAGTGATTTAAAGATGAAAATATACCAGTGAGAGAGTCTGCATGAAGTTAATGATGTCCAGTTAACCAGTGAATACAGGGTGCAGTGGTGGGTACGATAGTTACAGCCAGTTATGAATCTTAGCGCACCATGATAGACAGCATCCAACATCTGCAGGGTTCTTGTAGGAGCGTTCATGTAAATAATGTCACCGTAATCAATGGAGGGAAGGAAAGTCACAGATACAAGGAGTTTCCTAGCATTCAGGGTTAGACGGGATCTGTTTCTGAAAAAGAAACCCAGTTTAACTTTCAGTTTCTTTACCAAGTATTTCCACGTAGAGCTTAAAAGAGAGATGCGAGTCGACCAAGATACCCAAATATTTATAGGAATCAACAAACTCAATGGGGACATCATTTCAGGATAAAATCAGAGGAAGAACTGCTGGGACCGACTTCCTGTTTGAAAAAAGAAAAAAAACATCCCTTTGGTTTTGTCGGCATTTAGGACAAGTTTGAGGTGGAACAAATCTGACTGGATGATGTTGAATGCAGATTTCAAAAGCTGGAAAGCCTCAACTGTTTTAGCTCGACAATAAACAACTGTGTCATCAGCATAGAAATGTATGGATGCATCAGGGATGCTCTGACCTACATTACCTAAGTAGATTGTAACGAGGGTGGGTCCTAAGACTGAGCCTTGAGGGACACCATTGTTGACTGTTAAATAACTGGAGGAAGTACCATTATGTTGAACACATTGCTTCCGGTCTGAGAGATAGAGAACCATCCAATGGTGTGTTCTGAGAAACTAATTTCTGAGAGCTTATGACACAAGATGTTCTGATCCACAGTGTCAAAAGCTTTAGACAGGTCTAAGAAAAGTGCAGCACAATAATCCTTAGCATCCAATGCTTCAAATTAAGAACCTTCAGTGAAGCAGTCGTTGTGATGTGTTTCCTGAAACCAGATTGATGTGGAGGTAAAATGTTTAATGAGTCCAGGTAATTTTTGATTTGAGAGTTTATCAGTTTTTCTAGAACCTTGGCTAAAATGCAGAGTTTAGAGATTGGCCGATAGTTGTTCAGTGAGGTGGGGTCACCTCCCTTCAGCAAAGGAAGAACAAAGGCTGTTTTCCAAGTGTCTGGGATGGAGTTTTGTCTAATGGAGTGATTGAAGATGTGGGTCACAGAGACTGTGATGATATGAGCAGCCATCCTTAAGAAATAAGGTGGAAGTTCATCTGGACCTTCAGATTTTTTAGGATCAAGATCTATTAACAGTTTATTGACCTCACTGACTGAGAACGGAGAAAAAGAGAAGGTGTGATTAACTGAGGATTGACTTGTAGGAGGGATTTGATTTGTAGAAGTTTGGTTATTAAGTGAAGTGGCTGATTTTCCATTAGTAACTGTGTCAAATAAAGAACTAGAAGCAACAAAATGTTTGTTGAAACAGTTCAGGCTCTCAGTTCAGGAAATCAATTGATTATTTGATATTTTTGTTAAATTTTATATATTAAACTTGTATTTTACTGATTTTGATGATCATGAAGATTTTGTAGTGTGATATCAAGAAGGTGCATTTTTCAAATACATATTTTGATATAAAAGCAGTCCTTCACTGTGGTTGTTTTTATAATTTTCCAGATAGGTGGTACTTTGAGGAGATGTTGTGAGGAAGCACCAGACTGTGAGTGCAGTGTAGAAGCAGGTGATGACTCACCTGTTCTGCTGCCGTCACCTGCTGAGGTACCAGCTCCAGATAGACCAGTACAACCTCAGCGGACCTCCTACTGGGTAAAGTCAAGACTCAGAATATGCAAAGCTATGCAAACAGTTTCGAGTTTTGTTGTGGATCTGAGAACAGATCATTATAGAAGCTGTGCAGATTTTGAAACCCTGTGAAGCAGTTTTTGTTGAAATTTTACTTTTCTATGTGATGAACTGAAACCTCTCCTCCTTGTTTGGTAGCGTCGTTTCTCCACCTACGTGTGGCTGCTGCTGGGATACCCTCCCCTGGTCCTCGTTCACGCTCTGGTCTGCTTCATCTCGTGGATCTTGGTCTTCACCATCCCAGTCTCCAAGATGAACGCTCAGGCTCTGAGCGTCATCCTCCTCCTGCCTCCTGAGGATGTCTACATCTCTACCAGCTCGCACAGAAAGGTTGAAATTAAAGTTTATCCATCACAGCACATAATCTGAGACAGATTAACTAATAATATTTTTTATTGAACTTCAGCATCAGGGCTACGAGACCAGAGCACTGCTGTGCTGCTACCATGCTGCAAACTGGTACTACTACAAGTACACTGTGGACGGGATCAATGTGTTCGCTGTCAGTATCCTTGATCATAATTGCTTGTATGTGTGTCATACACCTGTTATGACCTTTGACCCATTCTTCAGACCTCCTCCCTCTAGTTATAGTCGCTCTGGTAATTGGATATGTTGACAAAGAAAATCATTTTGCCAGTTCTGATGTCAAGTTCACCATAGCAATCAGCTCCATTATACCACTCTCATATTATATTGGTATGGGCATTGCCAGGTAAACGGTTATCTTCACACCTGTGGCAACAAAAAATGAGCAAATTGTCCTTCAAATCAGCTCTGATTTAATTGTTGATCATCTTTGTTTCCTCAGTATCGCTGCCCAGAGTAACTTTGCTGTCGGCGCGGTGGTCAACGCCACCTTTGGCTCCGTCACAGAACTGACTTTTTACATCACAGCCTTGCTCAAAGGTCGTCAGGAATCCAACCCGTGTCTACAGGAGGTTGTTAAGGCGGCGTTGACAGGCACGTTGCTCGGATGCATCCTCTTCATCCCCGTGAGTCAACTACTTAACAACAGATTTTATGATTTTACGACTAAAAATAACAAAAACGTGAAACTACATTTTTAAATTAATGACATTTATTCCAAAAGCTGTTCGAACTCAAAAATACAAAATATCTGTTTTAGTAAATTAAATTGTTTATTCTATATGTTAGTGTTTATGCCAGGTCTGAACAGGGCCATAAAGTCTCGTCTCTTATCTGTAAATTTATCAACGAACGTTAATGAGTTCTTGTTTTTTTCAGGGCATCTGCATGATAATTGGAGGCCTGAAACACAACGAGCAGCGGTTCAACAGTCGGTCTGCAGGAGTGAGCTCTGCGCTGCTTTTCATCTCCGTGGGAGGCAAGTTCTTACAGACAAACATAACTTTTTTACTGCTATTTTGAGATAATTAGCTAGGTTTAACACACCAAAAGCTCATAAACTTTAATAATTAAGCTGGAAATGTAATTAATGTGACTACAGAACCAGTTACATTTTTGTTGCTCCATTGGCTTATGGGAACGTTTTTTTGTCTCCGGCGCTCGCAGGTGTGTTTGCCCCTACACTTTTCTCCAAGGCTTATGGAGACCTGGTGTGCGACGCGTGCACAAACACAGGAGGAAATGGCACGAGCAACGCCAGCGGATCGTTTGTGTGCCACAGCTGCCACTATGATCTGGTCATTAGACACGAGGGACTCTGAAACATGCGCAGATTCACGAGCACCGCTCCGGGATTAATGCTGGTTTTTGTTTTTATCAATAGAAAAACGGCACGCTGTTCCACAGCCACGTCCAGTGAGTTGTTTCATTTCTTCAGATATTAAGATTGTAAATTCAGACTGAAGCTTTTCCACTTAATTTATTACAATATAAAAATAAACTGTCCTGACTTGGGCATTTATTGTAAAAGTCACTTAATTCTCATTGTTTTCTTGTTAAAACATCTAAAAGCTGATCCCACAAATGAAGAATATTCTTGCATTCCTTGAAGGAATACATATAACAGCCTAATTTTTAAATAAACATCTCATGTGATTTGTTAGAGTTCTGAGTATGTGTCATGTATGGCTCTCAGCTACTACCACACCAGGTTTTAGCTCAGTGTTGGAATGATCGAGTTCACCTGTTTTCACATTGATTAGCTGCGATGGCCATCATTATTTAGGTTGAACGTGTTAACCAGTTGTAGACGTTCGTCTGATGATTGCATGCTGGGAGTTTGATGAAACTCTTTCCAGCAGTTCATGAAGTTTTTCTGCTAAAAGACAAAGGAGAACACACAGACTGGTAACGACACTATCGCTCACATGTCATGGCAGCAACTATTCTTGAAAAGTGTCACTTTGTGAGTTCTATGCTTAAGTATTTAAAATAAGCTTGTGTGTATTATCTGTTGTGTGTGTGTGTGTGTGTGTGTTGTACCTGCTCTTTGTGTGTTTCTGTTAGGCCTCTCGTGTACACGGTGTCCGCCCTTCTGCCTGCTGCGTACATCATCGGTCTGATATTTACACTGAAAACACACTCCTACATCTATGACATCCATGTTGGAGATGGACAGAGTGAGATTCAACCTTTTTGTTTCTCACATTAAACTCTAAACATAGCGTTGTCATGGTTACAGTGTTTAATCTTTTTGAGCAGTGCCCATTCACCACGGGGCAATTGTCCACTGGTCGCGGTGGAGGTCTCTGCTCATCCTCATCGGAGCCACTGCGCTCACGTCGGCGTGCGCTGACCTTGCGACTGAACACATCCAACCAATCCTCAACCAGCCCAACGTCTCGCAGGTTTGCACGTCGATCTGAGCATGCTCAGTTCGTAGCCTCCTCCAGCTGTGTCACCCTGCTGTACATCTTCCTCCAGTATTTCTTAGGGGTGACAGTTCTTGCAATGGTACCAGAGATCCCAGAGATCGTTAATGGGATTCAGTTTGCCCTCCAGAACAACATCAGTTTGAGGTAGTTTCTGTCTTACCAGAAGTTAAGTTTAAAATCATTTTTTGTATTTTAAATGTGCTTTTTGTTGTAGCTTGGAGGTTGGAAGCTGCATTGCTGTGCAGGTCTGCATGCTACAGATACCGATCCTGGTCCTGTTTAATGCCTTCTGTGTAAGGCCTTCCCTCTTTGATTGATTTCCTCATAAACACACAAAAAAAAAAAATCATGTTTTATATCTGATAAGGTATTCTTCTTTAGGATGTGGGCTTTGTGCTCGTGTTCAGCGACCAGCACACGTGGGCCAGCATTTTCAGCGTCATTCTAGTCAACTACATCTTCATGGATGGCAAGTCTGATTATTTTCAGGGTAAGTTCTGAGCAAGTAAAGGGTAAAAAGTGGATAAACATGTAAATTTAAATGAAACTGAAACTCGAGAATCAAATCAAAGAGCTCCTGATCATTTTGCTGCATAATTGCATAAAATGACTTTTCTTAAAGTGTGTTGGATGTAAATTAACAAACAGGCCTCCGAAAGAGCGATTAAAGCGCTCCTTAAATGTTCCCCGTTTACAATCTCCAGGTTGATTTGCCTACAGCATCTGCATAAACACAAATCAACTGCTGCTTGAAAAGAAACGCCAAGACTGTTTTGTAAAAACATTTTTAGGGTCCAACTGAACCAACTTTCTAAGACTCAATGTTTAAGGTTTCTTTCTGTGTGGAGTTTGCATGTTCTTCTCGTGCATGCGTGGGTTTTCTCCGGACACTCCGGTTTCCTCCCACAGAACAAAAACATGCATGTTAGACTGCCTTCAGGCCCAGGCCTCCCTTGCAAAAGAGATCTGTGATCTCAATGGGATTTGCCTGGTTAAATAAAGGTTAAAAAAAAAAACCAATATTCTGCCTAAATTTCCTGTTTATCACAGTATGGTAGAAAGATCGTTTAACCTTTGTCATAATAAGCAGGTCAACGTACAAACCGGATTCCAAAAAAGTTGGGACACTAAACAAATTTTGAATAAAAACTGAATGCAATGATGTGGAGATGGCAAATGTCAATATTTTATTCGTAATATAACATAGATGACAGATCAAAAGTTTAATCTGAGTAAATGTAACATTTTAAAGGAAAAATATGTTGATTCAAAATTTCACAGTGTCAACAAATCCCAAAAAAGTTGGGACAAGTAGCAATAAGTGGCTGGAAAAAGGAAATTGAGCATACAACAAACAGCTGGAAAACCAATTAACACTAATTAGGTCAATTGACAACATGATTGGGTATAAAAAGAGCTTCTCAGAGTGTCAGTGTCTCTCAGAAGCCAAGATGGTAAGAGGATCACCAATTCCACCATTGTTGCACAGAAAGATAGTGCAGCAATACCAGAATGGTGTTACCCAGCGTAAAATAGCAAAGACTTTTTTTAAGTTATCATCAACCGTGCATAACATCATCAAAAGATTCAGAGAATCTGGAACATTCGCTGTGCGTAAGGGTCAAGGCCGTAAAACTCTACTGGATGCTCGTGATCTCCGGGCCCTTAAACGTCACTGCACCTCAAACAGGAATGCCACTGTCAAGGAAATAACAGAATGGGCTCAGGAATACTTCCAGAAAGCATTGTCAGTGAACACAATCCACCGTGCCATCCGCCGTTGCCAGCTGAAACTCTACAGTGCAAAGAGGAAGCCATTTCTAAGCAAGCTCCACAAGCTCAGACGTTTGCACTGGGCCAGGGGTCATTTAAAATGGAGTGTGGCAAAATGGAAGACTGTTCTGTGGTCAGATGAGTCACGATTTGAAGTTCTTTATGGAACACTGGGACGCCATGTCATCCGGAGCAGAGAGGACAAGGATAGCCCAAGTTGTTATCAACGCTCCGTTCAGAAGCCTACATCACTGATGGTATGGGGTTGCATGAGTGCTTGTGGCATGGGCAGCTTGCATGTCTGGAAAGGCACCATTAATGCAGAGAACTATGTTCAGGTTCTAGAACAACATATGCTCCCATCTAGACGTCATCTCTTTCAGGGAAGACCCTGCATTTTTCAACACGATAATGCCAGACCACATTCTGCAGCAATCACAACATCATGGCTACGTAGGAGAAGGATCCGGGTACTGAAATGGCCAGACTGCAGTCCAGATCTTTCACCTGTAGAGAACATTTGGCGCATCATAAAGAGGAAGGTGCGACAAAGAAGGCCCAAGACGATTGAACAGTTAGAGGCCTGACATGAATGGGAAAACATTCCTATTTCTAAACTGGAGAAACTGGTCTCCTCTGTCCCCAGACGTCTGTTGAGTGTTGTAAGAAGAAGGGGGGATGCCACACAGTGGTAAAAATGGACTTGTCCCAACTTTTTTGGGATTTGTTGACGCCATGAAATTTGGAAACAGATTTTTCCCTTAAATGATACATTCTCTCAGTTTAAACTTTTGATCTGTGATTTGTGTTTTATTCTGAATAAAATATTAATGTTGGCACCTCGACATCATTGCATTCAGTTTTTATTCACAATTTGTTTAGTGTCCCAACTTTTTTGGAATCCGGTTTGTAGATTCAACACAGCTTTAAATTTAGCTTTAATCCAGGAATCTATAAGAAAACAGATTTAGCGAAGTGGTTGAATGTACAGTTTGAAGTGTATTGCTAACTTCTTGGGAGTGGTTTCATTGTGTATTTATCAGCGTCTTGCTCTCCTCAGGCACAGCTCTGGTGGTCGTCTACCTCATCCTTCTGGCTCTGTATTTCTTTGCTCCATCTCCAGCCGGCTGCTAGGAGCAGGATTAACTACCAGCTCAGGAGTTTCACATTTTGAAGCCTGAAAGACTTTCAGTGAGTCACAGTTCCCATGAGTTTTGATGGAAACACTGTTGGTGTGGAAGTTACAGGAAGAACGTTGTATTTTAGTTTTTACATACGACACACAACTAAAACTAAAGTTTTTAATCTCAGGTAGGTTCTTCTTTGACTGCTCACCGTCATGACTATTGCTGCACGATGTACAATACAGATGCTAACAGATGTATGTCTTTAAATTGTGAAGGAGATAAAAGCAGTATTTTTAACAGTACAAATGATCAAATATAATATTTGTATGCATGTTTGGATAAAGTTTGTAAAGCTGAGATAAAAACTATTACACATCTATGATAAACTGCTCTTCATATCTTTAAACTGGAGATGTTTGGGGAAAAAAACAAAAATTTCACAAACCAGCTGCCTTTTTTTTATTGTTTGTACAGACAAAAACTACCAAACAATGCAGCCATTTTTACTTTCAGGGACACATTCACTTCTTTCACCAAGAATCAGTGTAAAGTTACTGTACATGCAAAAAAAAAAAAAAAATTTACATGCAGAAGATTTAGCTTTCAACATCAGAAGTGACGAACATGAACACGCCAATCTCAACTCTGGTAATAAGTTTAACAAGCAGCAGACTGCTTGAAAAAAAGCATAAATAAGGCCGTGGCATGTCTGAGAAAGACGGTGAGTTTGTCTGTGTGTGTGTGTGTGTGGGGGGGGGGGGGGGGCATAAATACAAAAACATTGTACTAAAACAATTACATGAAACAAAATGCTGAATGAATAAAGGCAAGGTATGTGTCGGGTATCAGGACCAGATTTAGAGTTTTCACATACAGTACATGGAGAAAAACTGCTGGTGTTCATAATAGACCCCCCCACACACAAAAAAAATATCTGAACTGAACCTACCAACATTAAAAAAACTCTACTTCTGTCACAGTATTTACCATCATGAGTACCAATATACTTGCAACACTGACAAGTACTTCATTTTTTCCTAGTACCAAAGCATAAGACAGCTACAACCTCTAGAAAAATGATAAACAGATTAACAGTATTTACATTGTAAAAAATTTAAATGATGGAAAATGACAATGAAAACAAACGGGGATTAAAAAAAAAAATCAAATAAAAAAAAAACAGCTGCAGGATTAGGTACATTTTAAAAGTTTGTAACAAAATAACCAGCACAGTGTTTAAATAAATACAAATATCATTGAGTTTAAGTTAATGCACAGTCTGCAGGAGCATCTCCAACAACAGCACGGCATGGCAAAGTGTCTACAGGCTCAAGTGAAGAGCACCATCATTCACACAACTCAGTCAAATGGTTTAAATAAATGTGTTGGAGGTCAGAAGGCACCAAATGAAAGAAAATGGCTTCAGAATCACTGTGGAGCCACAACTTTATAACCAAGAGGTGGAAACAAGTTTCACAGTGATGGGCTTGTTGCTCTAAAGTCCTTCGACTAATTCCTTCTTTGTAAATATATAAAATAAAGAAATTGAAATCATTTAACTTCCATCGTGGAGTGCTTTTTTTTTCCTTTTTTCTTTCTGACAATCTTCTCACCTTAAAGGCAGGCTACCAGTTTCACTTGCTCACACGTAGAGCGGTGTTTAAAATAACTCCAGTCAGAGGCACCACTGCAGCCAGGTTCAGTGGGTAACTTCAGCTACGGTGAAATAAACCCTTCATGAGCTAAAATTACAGTACACTTCCAGATCATTTTTCCTTTCTAAAGGAGATCTTTGAGGAGTCAAATTATTTTTTGTGCTCCACAGGTTTCTCTGATAAAGAAAGTTTGAATAACAAATTTTTAATAGAGTGCATAGAGGCTGAAATTGCTGCAAGGGAACCTGAAAATGAGAGCAACTCAAAAAAGAATGTCGTATTAAAAAAAGAAGTTTAAAGTATTTTCATAATCTACCATCAAGCTTTGTTCCTCTACTTACCACCGACTCCAGCGTCAGCGTTACTCCTCTTCAGTCTATTTGAGCCTCTGGATTAATGAGTGCGTGAGTCCGAGGCTGAGCAGCTGAAGGGTGGACAGCTGCGTTAAATGAGGAAATGTTTTCAGCAGTTTCTCCCAGGTCATTTCCAGCAGACTGGGAACCACCAGCCACACTTTGTACAGAGAGGCGGTCCGTCGGTTTCCAGACATGTTGACAACACCGCCGTGGACGTACATACAACCCGCCTGAGAGAAAACGATCAGAAAACAAAACGAATTGAAACTTTCTGCTTGGTTACTCTGCACATTCAAGTAAAAGTGATGTTAGTTGATGTTTTTCTTAGTTCATATCTTAGATCTTATCATTGTTTTTTTTTACATTTTTATTGTTGAATGTAACTGGGACCCTGTGTACATAATTTTGTTCCACCACATGCGATGCGAACGACAAAGAATCTCTTGACTTTCTCTAACTCTAAAAGTATGGAAAACCCTTGAAGATGCACAAACTCATCAATTTCTGTTTGATTTTTAAAGAAATTTTACTGACCGGAGTGACGGCAGCACAGTGAAAGTAGGCCGGTTCAGGCATGACCGCAGGCAGCCTGGTCCACTGGAAAGTCTGAAGGTTTATCTTCCACAGGTCGGAGAGGATCAGCTCGCCGTTATAACCTCCACATATAAACACCTCTGAGTGTAAAAACAAAAACGGCAGGAATGAGGTGGAAAACTCATCGTTACTGTGACCAGTTGATGCTGAGAAATCCTGCTCACCATCTTTGACCTGAACACAGCTGTGACATCTACGAGCTGCAGGATATCCTGTGATAAGAGAAAATTAATTCCATACTGTCCAAATCCTATGGTTAACCAAATTATATCCAAATGTGAAAAACTTACCTATTTTGTTGTGGGGTTTAGTTACTATTTCTTCCCAGTAATTGGTCTCCAGGTTATACGCATGCATCTGATGAGCAGAAATAGTATTAAATAAATGCTATTTTTTATGACTAAGTTTTTAAGTTTGTGTTCGTCTCACTTTATCTAGCTGATACGAAGTCCAGGAAGTTCCACCTCCTAAAATGTATATTCTCTGTCCGTCATGAGCCAGCTCATGTCTGTACCTATGAAATGTATTTTTTCTGTCTTTAGTGGACCGTTAACGTTCAACACGTTGCTGCAGTTGTGTCTAGACTCATCTGTGCAGACCGACCTCTCATCAGGGAGATCCGATGGTGTGTTGTTGGGTTTGAGGTGGCTCCACTCTCTGGTGCTCAGGTCCAACCTGTGCAGGTCAGTGCTGTAATGGTAGCCAGTTGTCCCTCCAAACACGTATAGGTAGCCGTTAACTATAACCATGGCCTGGAAATGGACAAGAGGAGTGTTTTATTATCAGGCGGTACACAGAAACGTACGTTGGGTCTCCTCTGACACAAACGTTACCTGCCCATAGATCTTGTTTGGTTTCTTCCCTCGGCAGCTCAGCAGGTTCCATCGCCGGTACTGGACGTTGCAGACGTGGACGTCATTGCTGTTGTTTTCACCAAAGGGGATCCCAGTGCCACCAAACACCAGCAGGTTGTTTCCATGAAGGGCGGCTGAGAAAAACAAACTGTAATAAATTCCACTGTTTCACATCTGACAAAATCCCTGCGTTAAACCATCAACTTGTTTTACTAAAGCCCTATTCGCACAGGATCAGTTTTACCTAAGGACCACGTGTAATAAATAAATTACTTCCCAACGTCTGCGTTTTTTGTGGCACATTCGCATGGGATAACCAAAGCCTGAGATTTAGCTGAAATTTACAGACATATTCTGTTAACGCGCTGCGTTGTCAGGACCGCGCCGGTCCATAATAATGTGTTTAATGTGCGGTCCCAGACGGTCCCAGGCTTTGATGTGGTTTTACGAATCAGAACAAAGAAAACTAAAGAATGCACAATATACAATTGTGTTAATCTACTTGTTGAGGAGGAGACAGGTCTGACCGGCCGGTTTAAGAGGTAAAAAAAAAGCCACATTAAGCTCACATGGACAACCCGTCACCGGCCACGCGCGTGAGCAGCTGCACGTCCGTTGACCCGCCGGTTGAAATGAACTTGCAACCTGTCCGAGGTGTACCCCGTCTCTCGCACAGTGATGGCTGGACATGGGCACCAGCGACTCCCACTACCCACAAAGGAAGAAGCAGGTAAATATAATGGACAGATGGATCAGCTGATCACGCGCATGTCTCCGCACCTGCTGGCATTTGCAGTGAAGGAAGTAGCATCATCTACAAAAGCGAAGCGAGCAGTGCGTTCATTTAAAATAAACTTGTTCTATATTTTTCCAAATTATTTTTGCTTAAACAAAAACCACATAATTGCGTATCGGATCCAGCCCAGTTCTGTCCAAATCACAGAGATGCCTATTTGCAATGGATTAGTATTATCGCAGGACCTCGGTGTTCAGCAAAATTTAGTAGGTAATTTGCAGGGGAATTTTTACTTTACAAATTACTGACATGGCCGATTCGCACGGGATTAACAACACAGACAATCTCCGTAATTATTACAAATAGCATGTGGGCCCTAGGTAAAACTAATCCTGTGCGAATAGGGCTGAAGTCACTTTTACAAGCTCTGGCTGCTTTTGTTAAAAAAAATAAAATCTTTGAAATCTGAGTTTAAGTTAATTTTTGGCTACTAAAAGCAATACTTGTTGAAATTCAAATTCGGTCAACACATGCCTTTTGTTAAAGAACAATATGTGTTCTCTGCTGAAGGAGTAAGGGACAGAAGAGTTTATAAAGGTAAAGAAAATTGGACAAACATGCCTAAAATAAATAATTTGCAGCATTTATACTCAGTAATGTCTAAGTCACGGTTTGGTACAGCAGGAAAAAGAAACAAAAATCAAAAGCATTTTATTTTGACAATGATCCTCCTAAAACCAGAGACAGAAAAACAAACCAAGCTTGTTAATGAAGAAGCGATAAAGAAGCAATAAAAGATAGCAGGTCTTTGTTAACTGGTGACTTCAATATAAAAATTAAACAGTATCATATTCATCCAACTGGAAATAACTTGTGCCCTACAGGCCATGTGTCAAAGAATAACAAATAATTTTGATAAAATCCAAAACTGAAAGGTATCACTCTTTTGTCAGTAGTTCTAAAGAGCTCTGGACCCACTGTGTCCAGACCCGTTTCTGTGGGCGTGGTGTGCTGAACGCAGCTTGCTACCATGCAGGCCGAGCACAGGACAGCACCTCAGTGCATTTAATCAAAAGAGAACACGCACACATAAACTCTGGACTTTGTGTGTGTTTCCACCAGCAGGGTGATCACACTGCAGCCCTAATTTGTTTTTTATGATTCTCAGTGTGGTTCTCAACTTTCAAGCTGCAGCAACTTCCTAAATTTTCCATCCAGCACTGGACTCAGTCGATACAAATTCTCCCTCCCCTTTCTGGCCTGGGCCCCTCGCAGCATGCAGTGCACAACTTTTCTATGGAGTTTTTTACAGATTCTAATGCCAATGCTCTGTCAGTATTTTGCGATGCATTGTGTTCTAGCTTTATTTATATTAACTTCCAGATCTTGGACATCTAAATTACTTTTTATTTGTTGATTATGTATATTCACTATCACTGACTATGGCCTACTTATCTGACAAAAACTAAATAAATAAATTCTTAAGTTTGATGTTTCATCTTCACTTTTGTCAGTGCTTGGTGTTCCGACATATTCCACCATGGCTACTAGAACTAATAAACCACATTAATAAATATATTTTTATTTTTTCTAACTTCTCAAAATGTTTAAAGTCCATATAATTCCTGCATCACTTTCTGCTGGGTGAACACATACGAGGACCCGTTGGCTCCTACCTGACATAGACGCCAGCTCTGTGGGCATGTAGCCTTCTGTGCGAACCTGCTGCCAGGTGGCTGTGGCAAAATGAAACCGCCAAAGCTCCCTAAAAAGAGGGTAGTCTTCATTTTCTGACCCGCCCGCCTCCTCAAAGTCAGGGTTGTAGCCTCCAAACACGTACAGGTTGGCGTAGTCTGCAACACAGCGGTGTCCACTGCGGGCAGGCGGTGTACAGTGTCCTGTGGGATCAATGACATTTACACTAAAATCAGAATCCCTGTTTGAACACTTGGTCTTAATCCATCAATGATCTCTTTTCCCTGAAGACTCAGCACCTTCTCTCAGGAACCTGTTGGGGATCCGCAGGTTGGGGCAGGTGGGGGAGAAGAGTCGTCGAGCCTGAAGCCACCGTGCTCGCTTCTTGGAGCCTGACAGAGACAGTCAGTGTTTATGTATTTGATATAAGTACTATTTAAAGTATATGCACAGAACTATATACAAATTACAATAAATAAATATGACCAAATGAAAAAAGAATAATAGAGTGACTGAACATTAAGATCTCCAAGTGGTTTTCTATTACATACTGTCACATGTTATTGTTGACGTCTGTTTTTAACAACACTGGCGTCACTTCCGTAGCAACGTTAGCTAAGTTTAGCTTTCCTGCTGCAGAAACCAAACCAACAGTGTTTCACAGCTTAAGCTAACCACATGATCATAAAAACCATGGCCATGGCGAACAAAACTCCCTCCGCTCGCTGTGGTTTGACAATCATGGCAGCTGCTGTGTTAGCAGCTGGTTCTGACAGACCTGAGTCCTGGACCGAGGGCCTCCACGACAGTTTCTCAAACGCGTTGAGGTGACTGAAGATTGCATCGGGATCAGAGGAGGACATTTTTTTACACACAGAGAAGGGGTTCACAACGAGAGCTGGACAAGAACCCGCTTTACTACCGTCGTAGCATTGATCCGCTAAGCTAGCTCTCCGCTTCAACCCTTCACACCTGAAACTTCACGCAACGTCACAGCCAGCTGGTCTGAACCGACCAATCAGAGGAGGGGAGTGTTTTATGTTGCATTCAGGAACCTCAGAGAAAGTCGTAATGAAATTGTAACAAAGTGTAGACCTGAACAACCGTTGTAAATGTTTGGGTTAACACAGCATAAAGCCTAACAAAACACGAGTTTACACCATGTTCTACACTGTATATACAGTTATTCTAAACAATAATAGGACTGACTGTAAAATAATGTCAAACTGTTCTTCTGTCTGTTTCAAAAATGGTCACTCTGTCAAAGAACCGACAGAAGAAAAGTGATTACAGTAAACTAAGCATTTAATGACCGCAGCCAACCAAAGCGTTTAACAACACAAACTGTGCCCTCATGTACCCACACAGCACTATGCTACATCACTGTAATCTACTTTTTAAAAATCATTCTGTAGAGTCTATAATTGGTGCTATGGATCGATTACTTACTGTCTTGTCATATCTAGTTAAAAGTTGGATGGGAGACATCCAGATGCCTTGAGCATTAATTATAATCACCAGGGGGTGCTCACACCTCTTTAGCAACAATCACACATGCTTTAAATTTTTACATGCATTCATTTCAAAACTGCAATTTTTCTTATTCTTGTTTGTCTTTTAGTCAAATTTTAAAGAGATCAGATGGTATGGGGCGTGTTCAGGGTTGTGTGGCCGTAAGCAAAAGAGGTTTTTACAAACCATTTTATAGAAGAGAAAGTCACATGGCGAGTCTGAAAAGACTCATTCTTAAAGAATACCTCTCTCTAATGACATTTTACACCACTGCTTCAGATGCTGTTGTATAAGAAGTTTGTGTAAAAACACTGTTTTCTGCTCAGGAACTCTTTGCTTTTTTTTTTTTTTTTTTTTTTTGCTCTAAAGTCACACTAATTTTATAACAGTCTTCATGGGATTTCCAAGTTCTGGACTTCATCAGACACTATAAAAGTAAACAACGAGTTACATACATTGTTTACAGAGCCACTAAGATCCACGAATACATCAGAGAGAAAACCCTCAATGATGAACTGATAGGTGAATGTCTCAGGCAGCAGAAACCCAATGTGGAAGAGGACGAACAAGAGGAACCATCAAAGAAAAGGAACATCCGTGCTGAGTGTGAACTGGAGGTCCCACGGTCAAAGTGGGAGACAACACCACCATATGTGGTGGAGAATGGAAGGGCCAAGATATTGTGTGAAGAGTCATTGGGATTTGGATTTGAGTTGGACTTTGTAAGAGCCAAAATGACTGCTATGTGTTGTTTAACTGTTATGGCGGCACAGGTGTTCAGATTTGTTCCTACCCTTCAGGTAACTGCAAGAGAGTTGGTGGAAGACTCAGCAGAACAGCGAGATGGAAGAGATGAAATATCCTGTTATTCATGGCCAAAGACTTTCACATTTCTAACCTAATCCTTCAACATATCCATGAAGAGGTATGGAGGTCAAAACTATACGCAATCTAAACTACGTCACAAATACTGGATTTATTTTGTGGATGGAAGTCGCTACAGATTTGATTTGTTTGCTTTAAATCTATTTTAAAATGGCCTTGTTTGAGAGAATGACCCCAAGTCAAAAAAGAAACAGAGTCCTTATATGTATTTAGACTTTTAAAAATTAGTTTTAAAAAAGGGAATACAGCACAGATAAATTGATTTTACTGTTTGCATTATTTCACATTATGTAATATACCAACTGGAAAACAAAACAAACAAAAGCAAAAAAATAAAATATGTTGATCTATTTTTTAAATAAGGAAAATATGTCAGTATATCAGGTGATCTCTATCAGGTCATCAGGTGTCTCTTGTAAATGAGTCCCCGAGGCTTAATGGGATTAACCTGTATAAATAAAGGCTGAATGAATGAATATATCACCTACAGGTTTCTTACTATTTTAAATGAATACCAAACGTTACAGGCGAATCAATGCACAGAGTGTGTCAGGTTTTATGAGCACTTCTAAACATCCTGGATTTGTGTTAAAATCAGACCTAGAAATGATTGTTTAGACATGAATTATATTTTTGTTCATTTACTCACTGAGCCCTTTAGATCCATGAACCCTGACATAAAAAGACCCACTCTGTGTGTTTCTTTAAATATATCATTAACCTTGAATGTAAAACAGACAAACTTCTCCGTTGAGCCAGTCGAGAGGAAGGAGTGACTCATTTTCATGACACATATGAAGCGTCAACCTTTCCCCCAGATCATCAGGAGCTGACAGGCCTTCTGGATGTGAAACTCACCCAGAGGAGCTGAAGGAGGAGAACAGAACAAACAGGTTGGGAAATGATGGGTTGACTCCACAGGTTAACAACGGCAGTGCCTGAGTTTTCTGACTGACTGTTACTGAACAAACGCGCAGACGTGTAGCTCCGTACGCTACAACTGTTTGTAAAGTCAATGAAATCAAATAAATCATCTGCCGTCTGGTTTGATGAGGTAATACACTTTTATAAATGCACCCAATTTGTGTGTGTTTCATCGCACGAGACTGTGTGAGCCTCATTACAAATGAAAGGTCTGGCAATCCTTAAAGGAATGCATATCACCCGCCTTGTTTCATGTCAGAGTTTAAACTAAGATGGCCTCGTGTTGAGAAATGTCAACAGTTAATGTTATGTGCAATCTCCTGCCATGCCTCAAATGTGTATTTTGTGAATGACTCTCAGCTACTAACAGACAAAATGTTATCACAATATCTGTAAAACTGACAGAACTAGAGTTATTTTGGTGTTTTCTAAGGTCGGTTGACTGTGGCAGCCATATTGTGTGATGTTGGCTCCAAACGCTAATCAGTTGTATATCTACATCAATTGATTATTTCCTGAAAGTTTAATTTCAATCCATTCAGTGGATCGTGAGATATTTTGCTAACAGACACAGTTGACTTCATGTGGTTAATGGCAAAATTTTAACCTAAAGGTCTTTCTCAATCTGTTTGCGTTCAGAATATGTGTTGAGGACCAGCCTCAGCTACGACCACACCACATTGTAGCTGGATATCTGTAGAATTAAAACTGAACTAGAGTCATTTTTGTGTTTTTAAGATCAGTTTGTAGATTTTGTAGAACCAGTTGTAGATGTACATTCAAAGATTACCTTCTACGAGTGCGTTTATGTCCGTGATATCTATAATCTTCCACAGTTTAGATAATTTGTTTATTTATCTTTTCTGTTTCAGCTTTTTTAAAACTTCCATCTCTGACTGTGGAGATAAGATCTCCCAGCTCGCCTCAAACCACAGCATGAAGAAGCAAAGAGAGAGATCTTATTTTTAGCTGAAGGTGCACCAAAAAAATGTAATTACATACTGCCTGATTGTTTAGGGCTGCTTCACGATTTTAGTGCTTTATTTCAGAGTTAAACCAGTTGTTTCACCTTAACATGCCTTTATACTTTGCTTGGTGTTTTCTTATTGACTTTAACTGCAGATTTACACTTTCATAAAGATAGTTTTCATAAAGATTAATAAATCACAAAACAATCTGGAGTTTTTCTGCAGAGCTGCTGTACAACAAAAGGTGATCTAAAAAAAACTTGAGTGTTATTTAACTCTTTGTAAACCATTTTCAGTGCAGACTATAGCAAGCAGTGTTTCGACAGCATATTAAATTTATTACCGACGCAGGAAGATTTTGGCTGTGTTTGTGTGTTCGTTTTGACAGTCTGTTAGCAAAATATCTCATAAACCACAGGATAGATTTTGATGAAACTCTCAGAAAATTATCATTATGTACATCAACATTTGGAGACAACCCAGTTCAAGGTTGCAATTACAGGAACACAAAAATGGGTGTAATGCAGTTAATTTGAGTTACTTGGTGTGGTAATAGTTGAGAATTATTCTGTACTCCGAGGGTGAGTATATCTCAAGAAATCTCAGGGTGTTCTACACATTTTTTACATATATTAAAAAATGCCAATGAATAAAAGTTATGTCTTTAAAGAAGCCAGCAGCGTTGGATCTACAATTTGTCATATCTTTCATCTTGAGCACCGATCGGCGACAGTGGAAAGGAAAAACTCTCTTTTAACAGGAAGAAACCTCCAGCGGAACCAGGCCAAGGATGGGAAGCCATCTGCCTACAGCTGGAGGACACGAAGGAAACACGGACAAACACAGAATGGCTTGTCCAGGTGTAGTTTCTATAACAAAAATAATTTATGTCTAAAGCCCTTTAAAACAACGACAGCTGCAACAAAATGCTGTACACATAAAATCAAGAAAGTTTAAACACGTAAAAAAATAAAACAGTTGTTAAAACATTAAGATCAATAAAAACAAGAGTGAAAACAGAGTCTGTGCTAAAAGCCAGGGAGTAAAAATGTGTTTTTAAAAGAGTTTTAAAAATGGATAGTGAGAGACTTGTCTGATGGGAAGATGGTCCAGGTGAAGTTTCTATGGTCCAGGTGTACCGGTAGTTATATGGTCCAGGTGTAGTTTCTATGGTCCAGGTGTTTTGATAGTTATATGGTCCAGGTGTACCGGTAGTTATATGGTCCAGGTGTAGTTTCTATGGTCCAGGTGTATCAGTAGTTATATGGTCCAGGTGAAGTTTCTATGGTCCATGTGTACTGGTAGTTATATGGTCCAGGTGTAGTTTCTATGGTCCAGGTGTACCAGTAGTTATATGGTCCAGGTGTAGTTTCTATGGCCCAGGTGTACCGGTAGTTATATGGTCGAGGTGTAGTTCATATGGTCTAGGTGTATCGTAGTTATATGGTCCAGGTGAAGTTTCTATGGTCCAGGTGAAGTTTC